ATCGCGTAAATATTGTTATGTTGACAGTTATGGATTAGCTGCCGTCATGATGCTGTTTCTAATTTACTATTATTCTACGGCAAAATATTTTAGGCTGTACGACAAAATATTTTAGGCTGAGGGTATCGGCGGAGCGATGTAAATGACTGTTTCCGTGGGTGTTCATTGAGTCCCTAATGCTTCCGCCGGTCGGTTTCGAATCTGTGCATTAAAATCGATCAGTAGAATCCACAGCCGCTTTAGTGTCCAGAATTAGTACACTTATGTTTCGGTGAAAATTACCGAGGTTCTCAGTGATATTTCCCATCAGATGTTAAAGTCATTCTTTATTCCGGTAATAAAATTCTTTGACTGATTCTAGCACTATCTGAGAAAAGTTTGTCAGCAGCATTTGAAATTTACCTCGTATTTATGTTCACATTAAGGTGAATCTAGGTAGCGACGCGCACCAAGATTCCCGACGCGATTGCGCGTTTTTGCAGCCCGAATTTTGTCGTATCTCCACGCAACTCATTAGTCTGCGTGGGAACTATTATTACGTTTTATAGCGCCTCACAGAATCGAACAATATTTTCACGCAGTTTCAGCTTTCTTGCTGCCTGTTTGCCAAGAGGACAGAATGGTGGTAGCGCCGCAAGTTGAGCATTTCATATGTCTGTGCATGGGGCACATGCGCTAGCTTGCTGATCCTAGCGCGAGTAGCAAAACCCTCAGAAGAAAACTTCTTCCTGCACAGTCTGGTTAATGATTTAATTGAATGTCAACAGTGTCCCGAACTAAAATTCTATTTGCGTGTGCGCAAGATCTAGGCTTGCACTAGTGCTGAATTTGAAATACTTAGGCCGTACGTAGCCATAGAATATCTTCGCTAAATTTCAGCTCCCTAGATTGAATGGTTCGCGAAATCATTTTCCATTACAAATACCTTTGATATGTCCGTATGAGCGATATAGGCTTTCTCCAAAACCCAATTTGCAGTCACGTGCTTGCGTCTCGAAAACAGGTATCCTCGTAAAGTTAGGGAGCTTAAATCAGCTCGGCCTTCGAGCTGACACTTGCCAACAACTCCCAAATTTCAACTTTGACACTGTACTACGTGATATGTGTTATAGTTAAATCCGAAATCCACAGCTTACAAAGGAGCACAGGACATCCTTGTAAAATTTCTGTTTTGTCTGGTTCCCAAAATCGCTTTCCCGCCAAAAAATTTGCATGTTTTTTTCTTCGCCGTCCTCTTGTAAAACTCAAGCATGCGTAGAAGATAATATTAAAATGGGAAAGTCACAAGTGGAAGGGGAGATTTTCCAAGAATTTCAGCTTCTTAGCTTCTCTGGTTGCTGATTTGAAAGTGGGTGACAAAATGCGAACATACACAAACACGCACGCACACTAAAAAATCAGTTAAATAGTAGCCCTCCTTATCAAAAATTTTTAAAGAATGTAATTTATAGACTCGTAACTATTCGCGTTCCGGTCCTTGGGCATTACTCGATTTCTTGCATTCCGTCTTTTTTTGCATTTTTGCTGTGCAGCGTAGGACATCTTTGTGAAATTTTGTGTTTTGTCTGATTCCCAAAATCGTTTTCCCGCCAAAAAATTTGCATGTTTTTTTTCCGCCGTCCTCATGTAAAACTCAAGCGTACGCTTTTACTTGCTGCTACAGCAAGCAAAAGCGTGTACTGTCGAGAGGTCTGTGTGTGTGTGTTCGAAAGTGAATGAACTTTGTCACCCACTTTCAACTCAGCAAGAAGAAAGCTGGGAAGCTGAAATTTTGTGGGCATATTCCCATCCGCTGTTTCACCCTCCCGTTTTATAGTCTTCCCTCATACGCGCCTAGATCTCGCGTACGATCTCCCGAAAGAATATGCAGACTTTTTTGACGGGAAACGATATCGCGAACCTGACAAATTACAAAGCTGAAACTTTGCAGGGTATTCTCTGTGCACGTGTGAGCTAAAGATTTGAAATTCAGATGTCGCGCACGTTTGTGCAGCGCGTACGGTCACATCAAAGTTTGCACGTGGAACTGTACTAACTCGAAAACTAGCGGGAAAATAGTGGCTGAAATTTTGCCAGGATACTTATCGTTCATATGGAAAATCGTATACCACAAATAAGTTTCGATTTACACCTGCGACACGGCTTAGTACACTTCAGAGATATTTGTAGCGAAGTGGCTGTTTCGCTTACCGGGTAATGGGCGGGGCTGAAACTTCACGGGGATATTCTACTTTAAAGTACAGTCTTAATCCTGCTTGGAAGGGAAATTCCCTGCAGGTGGGCATGAGGAATATTCAGCTTTATAACAAACTCAGAAACGAGTGCATTTTGCAACGAACGACCGTCTTCATCCTCTTCCAACATCCAGTTCATTTACATATTTGGATTTTTTGACGAACAACCGCTCTAGCAACATTTTCACTTTCTGTGAAGAACTGGAACTGAATGTTGGGAGAGGATGAGGGCGGTCGCTCGCTGCAAAATGCGCACGCATCTGAGTGCAACTGCATAAATCATTGGCGAAGCGCACTGGGGGGCCCCGTGCGATCATGCGTTTTTGCAGTGTTTTGTGCTGTAATAAGATCACTCGAAATTCCGCTAGCAAGAAACCTCTTGTACATACTGGTCCTCGAATTTCGGGAACTTAATTATCCACGCTATAGTTGGACAGGGAACATTCTCTTAAAATCCCAGGTTCCCAGCTTTCTCAGTTCCCGAGTTACCGAAATTGCAGCTAAAAAATTTCACGGGGCCGCGCGCAGCCACCACGCATAGTGGGGAGCTGAATTTGATAAATTCAAGTTGTAGATGAGTTGAGAACATTTCCTGAAAGTTTCAGCC